CACCCTTTTCCTCCCCTCCACTCTTCCCAATCATCAAGTATTCAGTAAATTGGCCGAGTTAGCAGTTTCAATTTTTGTGGTCATCCCGCCTACTTGAATGCGATAATGAGGTCCTACCAGGTTCCTCGTTCATGGGATCAAATGATTGCCATTGGGGCTTTAGAGCAGTTTTTTATTGACTTCATTTGGAATTTTACGCAAAAAATCGTCCCAATGCATTTGACTGCGTATTTGTGTGGACTATTTCCTTGCTAATCGCCTCCCGCGGCAGCTGGTCTGCACTTACGCGTCATTGGAAGTGTTGACGACATTTATTGACATCATGACAACTGCGTGGTGGTTCGTTTTTTGATAAGTTTCTTAATTGGTGTTTCTTTTTTTAGTCTGAAATTGGCTTCGGGAAGTTACAATCATATGCCAAGTTGGATCTCCTAGGACAGGTCAGTCTTAAGTATTGCTTCAATGTACATATTGCTTAATCATGGCTATTACAGTGATCCAGGGCTTATAATGACGCATCTTGCAAATTTTCTACCACATCAGCGTCGATGCCGTGTGCCGCTGATGTGAGCAAGATGCTACCGCAACGACTTTTTTCTGCCCTAACTGCGCGAACGAACCTCATCACAACGAGCGGTACTGTGCTTGAGGCTACTTTTACTTCCTACTTGATTTAAATTTCACTCCCAAAGTTGCTCACGGCCTTTTTAGTAGACCATTCTTTCCTGGTTGATGGATAAAATTACACGCATGTGGATTATTCCAATAGTACTGCCGCATCCCCGAAACCTTCGACTGTTGTGTCAGGGTTTAATTTTAGGTTAGCAAAAGTGGTGCTAACGCTAGCTAAGTTTGGCTTTTGCTTGTAACCACATTAACCAAAGTTAAGGTAAGAATCTTTGTGGAAAAATGCTACCCCTTCACCAAGTTGTATCCGTGTGTGAATCAGCGGTATGCGTCGTTCCCCCCTCCCCCACCCCCAATGCACACGTGCGCACACGCGGCTGTCAGGGCCGCCCCCCTCCTCCTCCTCTTCCAGCATTGCCTGTGTAATGACTCCAGGCAAAAACACGCACACAAACACACACCAGTGACTTATTTTGCCAACATTCCTTTTCCATGTCTTGTTGTGTGTTTGCGGCGCAACACTTCGTGGTTGTTTGGCAGTTTCTTCACCCGTTTTCTCGATGTTGCCTGTTCCGCGATTCGTACACAGGGCTTTTTATCGGTGAGCTCGTATTCTGTGGGCTCCCTCGAGGATGATGCCCAATGCACTGGAGGCCTTTGCGCCGACACCAACACACACACACTAACCCTAAGTACTTGCAGTCGGGCAGCACGAGAACGTAGCTACGAGTTTGTGTAAACTTCTCTCAACTCAGTCATTGCCCCTAGTCACTAAATGCCCTGACAACTTGATTTTGCCAACTAGTATATTGATAATAATCTGTGTTAGATAAATCCAAGCCATGTTCCTTCTTGTTGACTAATTTACATGGATTTTTGACTGTCTGCATTAAGTAAATTTGAATTGCTTTGACGGTGTCTTTGTTGTTGTCCACGTTCGTTCTACCAGCTTCCTTTTTGGTACATATCAAAAGTGAGGCTTGACGAGGTAAAGCCTGGAGTAATTTTCAGAATCTCCACTCAGTTATTCTATGAGATGCTTCAAATCTACCGAAAGTATCATGCACATTTTCTGAATAAGTATACATGTAACCACAGCAACAGCCTGTCATAAAAGCACCGCCTCACCGAATCTTGCACGCTTTTATGTTCTGCGCGTGGACCGCATTTTTCCTCATGCTTGCCTCACAGACAGACTTCCGCAGATGCGTTTTCGATTCTACTCCTGAAGTGGTCTCCTCTGTTCGTGTTCTGCTATATCACGTCTTTTTCAGGTGATTTAGCCATTTAGGTAATAGTTGTAGGGGGGGTTTTCTGTGAGTCTGACCTTTTTAGGTGAAAATGCATATCTCTTTTGCACCTTGCTGTTGTAGCTCTTATGAACGTACCGCATATATTTTTACACGTTAGCTATAAGTGATACTCTGGAAAGTTTGTTATTAGAACATCCATCTCTCTTTGGAATAGCCTTGTGCTAATCTGCTTGACATCATTGGCTAGACTTGCACCACGTTCTTCTCCTCAATTTGTCAGAAAAAACGAACTTGTTTGGAACTTGTATCAGTATGATTCAAGAATTCCTCTATTAGTCAAACAAAAAGCTAGCTCATTATGCAGCTCATAGACTCACTTGTTTCATTGGTGCAGTAATCGTGCTAGTCATACCAAGCACTCAATGGCTCTGTGACTAATTTGCATTAAATGTAGTGGTAGGTCCAAAACACCAACCTAAGTATTTCAAGTTAAAAAAAAATAACATTAAGGTGTTTTACCGTAGTGAGAAGGTTTACATGTGTCCAGGCATTAAATTCTCGGGTTTTTTGCTTCCAACAGTTCTACATTCACTTCTCAACTGGTTGATGCACTGTGCTCAGTTCTTTAGTGATCAGTCGGTATTTCTTAGTGGTTCGGGATTGTTCCTCGTTGACATTAATGATTGCTAAGTGGTGCTCTACTCATTCCTATTTTGAGCCCAACAGGGGCTGTTACTCAGATCGGCTGTGACTCAGGGCTCGGTTCTTGCATTTTTCGGAATGAGATGTTTCCCGCCGAGGTATCTTAGGGTTGACTGTTTTCTACTCGCGTTTTTGTGACATTCTTGCGTCGTTTAAGAAGTGGCGGCTTGTTCGAAAACCGCGCCCACCGTTAGCGAAAAAAACGCGACAAACTTTCCCATACACTGGTTTTGGCTAAATTTACTCCGTTTACGCAGTTCAAGCCTCCTTTTTTATGGCGTTGACGAGTTTAGTGGATTTCGCCACATTCGCGCAAACAAAATAAACAACATGGTATGCCAAAATTCTCACCCCTTTTGTTTAATTACGTTTTAAGTAGATATCACACAGCGCCATCTAGCGAAGGGCAGGGATCGCTCAATAGCGCATTGCCTTTTTGACTTTGTCTGTCTTTTTCTGATTGCATTCCGCCGAAAAGGTAAATTCCAAAAGCAAGCCCTTCACTCCTTTTTCGAATGTCTCTCATAAACACTTAATTTCATCGTGAAATGGTGTGTTTATTAGGGGTGCAGTTACTTAGTATGATAAAACGGTACATTTAGTAAGCCTTATTATTAGTAGTAGCAGTGTAAAAATGCCCAAAAAGGTATCGCAAGCACACGAAACTGATGAAACTACAATACTCGCCTGTTTTGGTGCATTACTTGGTCCTATCCGTATTTAACTTGATGTGAAAGCAACAGAGAATCTGGTTGCTTTGTCTCTTCATATGTTTGCCCTGTACCCCACAATCATGCCGCTTTTCATCAAGTCCAATTTCGCCACTCAACTGAAGTGCACATTTCGACGTCACGCCGACAATCAGGATTTACCTTGATGTGAATCGATGGCATTTTTATTGAGGTAAGATCTCTCGAGGTCCTATTGGTTCTCTGTCCTTGGATGGATAAAATTGGGATCATTTGGTGGGGAATTGCTTCATATTTACACTTGCTGCACTCCGGTTTGCTATAAGCAGCACTAAAAGTAAAATATTCATAATTTTTAGCGACTACACAAGGATGCCTAAGCAAGCTTTGTGCACTTGTGAAAATCCCTGTCACTTGCACTTGAACTACTGCTTTTATGTTGTGCGTAGTTTACGTGGTAGCATAATATACAAGCTTTATCTACATGTAGTCTTTACACAAACTACTATGGCGCGTTCTACACGTTTTCGGTGTAAAATAATACAATCATGCCTGCTGGTGCCATTGGTTCGCTGCTTTCAACCGCATCCCCCTTGCTGTCAGCTTCCGCGTCGTACATGTTAACTTGTCATGTATTGATTATGTGGCACCAACAGAATTCCCCTGTTTTTCCTTTTTCCGCTACCCAAAAGCATCACTTTTTTACTGGTGTATCTTCGCCTAACAATGGTGGCTTAAGGGCCATCTTTCGCTACGTGAATCATCCGATTGGCCAAGAAAATGTCTCATTACTGAAACCTTAGTTTCCCCGTATTTGGCAAATCATTGTGAGATGTCGCTTAACTGCATGCTCCAAGCTAATTCTCGCTTGAGTCTGGTTGGTGAACTTCATGTTACCGAAATTTTGCCAAGGACGCTGCCGCTGTCGTTGCCTACACTCGCAGCCAGGCCTCTTCTTAATGACAACTGTAATTTTAAAAAAAAATTGCAGTCTGCTGGCTTCCTAAAGGTCTGAAAGCCTCCAGGGGAGTTGCACTTTCTAAACTTTTAAGTTTCGCACTGAGGTGGTGTGAGGGAATCACTACTGCCGCTTTGTACCAATTTCAACAAACACGCCTCTTTCGATAATAGATTTCGTTCGCTTGGTTTTTAGCCCTTCACTTGCTCCGCTAACCATGCTACTGCTATTATTGCCTTTCCCAATAATGTAGCGTTTTAATTTTCGAGCCCATAAGCGCGTGTGCTTATTTTTTTGGGGTCCTTGCCTCGAGTTTGTACTGATCTCTGATTGATAATCTGGAATGTGGCATCCCGCACCATAATCTGAAGGAAAAGACCTCTACTCACACTACGTATGGTGTAGCCATTTGTATTGACACTTTTTATCTTTATTGGCACGTAACTGTGTTCGCTTTTGTGAAATTTTACGCCGTTTTGTCCTCGCTAGCAATAACAAAATAGTTCTAATTTTAAGTCACGCTAAAGTTAGAGGGAGCATGGTCTGGTCCACTTAATTGGTTAGCATATCTGACTTAACCCTTAACCAACATTTGCCTCCTGTATCGTTTGGGGGATAGTTTCCAAAATAATTATATGGGTCCCCTCCACACCTTATCACGGGCTTAATTTAGCCTCTCATGTTCTGTTTGTTAAATTTTACCAACGAAGTCACCCTCGTTTGAGTCACAGTTTTCTTATAATTGCTTGCTTTCTCTGCACTTGGACACTAATGTTTCTAGTCTTCGACCGGAAATGGTAAAGACCTCCCGCTATCTTAAAACTTTCGTTAGACCGGAAAATTATAAGACGTGGAACAAAATCGATGACGTCCAGCTGAAATTTCTCACTCACGATTGGATTTTTATTCTACGTCTTCAAGTCCCCTCAATCTGTTTGCTTCAATCACAGAAGTGAAACACAGCACATAACGTAGCAAAAATTCCACTCATCCGCGTTTGTGGGTGTGGCTGAATTCTACTGCCATTTGTCCAGTTTTACCTTCCTACTACCTTCAAAGGCATCAAAGATTGTTTACCGTAGTTGGCGCGCAGTGAATCGAAGGTTTCACTTGACCTTCACTTTTTACGAAATTTTTTACTAATACACATGACAACAACGAACCCCACTAAAATTACTTTTTTACAGTCTTTGGATGTGTTGTGTTTAAATTAGATTTTTTTTCTTTCAAATTTACCGTGATGGTCTCTCCCCCGAGATTAATCAAACGAGTCCTGTGTCTCTTCGCTTAAAGGGTACCTACGCAACTGTGTACAAAGGCAGGAGTCTGTTGACGGAGAATCTGGTTGCCCTGAAGGAGATTCGGTTGGAGCACGAGGAGGGTGCGCCCTGTACTGCCATTCGGGAGGTCAGTCTGCTAAGGGATCTGCGCCATGCAAACATTGTCACCCTTCATGACATCATCCACACGGAGAAGTCCCTCACATTGGTCTTTGAATACCTGGTAAGGTATTTACAATGTCCTTTGCGAAAGTAAGGTCTCCCCCCGCACGCCGCCTCGCATCCCGCTCACTTAAACCTAGAGCCAGTTGGCAGGTTTGGAGTGCTCATTTATGCAGTCAGCGGTGATTTCACGCATGGGGGATCTGGCGCTAATTTGAAATACAATGCCTTTTGATTCATCTATGGCTGGTAGCAACTTTGTCTGTACTGCCGGCACCTCCTCAAACTGTGAAGCCTTTCTTACTGTGAACTGTTTTTTTTGGTCGAACCTCGTGCACATCGACTAACGACTGTGGTGAAGTAGAAGGCATGCCAACGCTGATAATTAGTTCTCTAGTTGGAGTCCTTTGGTCTGGCTTGATTCAACCTTCGATCATTTATCCTGGAATGCCGGTTTCTGGTACATTTAAAATGAATTCGCCTTATGACAAGCGTTAATCAAAGCGCAACGCTACCATTGCATACGCTATGTAGCGCCTCTTATTTGATATTGGAATGCTTCTGATGCTGGTATACAGACACTTCGAAGTTTTTGCCTTCATCCATTGGAATCGGTTGATATAATATCCACAGAAAAAATACCTGTACTCCAAGGTGGCTGATCATTTGCGAAAAAGCAGACCTCATTGACTATATTTGGGCTGGACGTGCCCCAAAGTGGTTAAACATATCCGGATGTTCACTACCAAACCATGAGCCAGTGGAAATTTGCCACACAAAGTTGCACTCTATGAATTTCGGCTCAAGATGTTGCGGCCATCGGATATTTTTCTAACAACATCTCTACGTAACAACTTAATCGTCTGTGTCAAAAGCGTTTTGATTCACAATGCACAATATGTCGTTCTTGGTAGCTCGATACAAGATTTTGTTGAGTCATTTTGTTACGTCAATGTTGTTATTTTGTATTTCATGTTGGTAGGTACTCCACTGTGTGGTTTTCTTGTTGTTCTCCAGTGTTTCCAGCACCCAATGTTCAATTGGATGTAACTTCCCAAAAGATCGACGTTTTGCTTTGCAAGTTTCAGTTGCTCTGTAGCCCACCTATTGAGCCAAACGCTCAAACTGGCACCAGTCTGCCTCATATTCACTTAGCCTGCATCCACCAAGCGCTCCTTTCACCTTGTTTTCTGTGTTTCACTAGATGGTGACTAATTTGCCCTTAGTGATTTGGCGGTGTGCGGTTGCTGGGAGTGATTTACATGACCGCAGATCCGCATGACGACAAGAGGTTGTGGGTTGTTCTAGTGTGCCTCTTGGTTTTCACCGAAAATGCACGCACGCGCACTTGATAAATGGTCCCTCTCGGAAAACATTTTTTTGGGTTTTCTTGCCAGTTAGTAGCAGTTTGCAAGGTTACTTGGTGGAATACATTATCTTGGGGTACAGAAGTTGACTTTATGGACCTCAAGTTAATAATTTCGGAGATGTGGTTCGCTTGTTTTTTTTCCGGTCCACAGATTTTAAATACAGTTTAGTTGTTATTTGTCCTCTTTCCTCCACTCTCATTAGCAGTAGCATGGTATAAAAACATGTGCACTTAATTCCCTTGTTGAGACTCTTCTTCAGATTTTCAGTACACCGTTAATTGTCGTCTCATCGCCTTATAGTGCCTTATTGCTGTTGGCTTGTTCATTTTCGCGCCAACTCTCCCACCACCACTAATGTCCAAGCTTCTAATTATGTACCTGAGGGACCTACGTATTTCAATGCTGATCCAACGTCATTTAGGCGTAGTCTCAGGTCAGACAGTGCAATCAAGGCCATGCCACGTCTCCAGGAGGTCGATTATGTTTAAAGGGTCGGATTTCGCAGCAGTACAAAGTAGCAGTTCAACTCAAATTTTCTGGTGGTGGTGGTGGAAGAGTAGGCATGGGAGTCGGTAGCTTATCCTCCGCGTCTGTGGTTGTAGTGTTCAAATCTTACAACGCACCCGATCTTTCACACTTGAACGCTAGTAACACCTACTCAGGAGCATATTCTTTGAAGATACGTCGCAAGTTCCCCAGAACTGGCTTTCCGTCATCACTTGATTACGTGCGTCGAAACGTGCATTTATCTTGCTGCGATGTCTGGCCTCTTAACAAAATTAGCTTTTATTTTGGCTCGCCATGGACAATTCATTACTTATAACCGACTACTAGGCGATACTGATTTAAGAGTACAACGAAGCCGCATTACGTGGATATTGGCCCTTTTTACGCTGCCAGTGTAGTGGATTTGGGTGTTCTAGGTAACTTAGGAAGTTCTAGAAGTTAAGTAGGTGCTGTGCCGTCTTTTATGACTGCTCATCAAATTAGCCGAGACACTGAACGTCAGTTGGCATAATGTGAGCGTTTTGCTAGAATTAATTGGGTCTCCACTTGTAACTATACATTCCACAATCTTAATTACTTTTTTCCGCTTGATGAAACAACTTTTAGAACTTGAAAAATGACAACTGCACGCATTCATTCAAACTGCTTTAATCTGTTTGAGATTTAGAATGAATAGCATATTGGTTTTCCACCTAATCTCAGTTGGCGTATTTGCACAACATTCCAACCAATCAAGATATTCTTCCCACCTTTGAAAAAAATTATACAGTTGCCCGTGAGAACAAAAGAAAATACAATTCCTAGAACAGTGCCCGATTTCTCTGCCTTAAAAGACCTGCGCCAATCGTTTTTGGAAACATGCGTTCTTAAGAACCATTTTTGCAGTGTGGTATTATTGAAGATGATATTTTACCAAAATCAACATGCAACCTCCGCTTTCGATGACAATTTGTTCCCACTCCCCTTTGAAAAAGTACTGCATCAGATGACTTGCAAAGTAAACCTGCAAGGCCAACCTTCTCTGCGGTTATGAATCAGTTCCTTGAGTCTGCTCGCTAGGACGCTATTCCGATGAATGAATTACCAGAATGTAATAAGAGTAAATGGGGGGGGCACCTCTTTCGCTGCAGTTTGCACTTCTCAGCTTTCAAAATTTCAGCACGAAATTAAGCGGTAAGGCACATGGTCGGGTAGAACCGAACTTGCAGTACGTACTATGAAACGGTTCTTCCTAACCTCCTCGATGCACTCATAAAGAAGTCACTTGGAAGTATGTGAAGATTTCTTTGGAGGTAGGGAAAGATGCACTTCTACTACGGCGCTTGCTGAGTAAATTGTCGCGATGTGCGATAGGACTGGACTAAATGGATGAGGATTTAAGTTGGCCGTTCAACCCTCTCTTGAACTGGACCCAAGGACCGGAGAAAAGCGTTATGTTATCCTGCTCCGTCTATGGATAAAGGAGGTCGCGGACCCTAACTGCTCCACAACACACGAAGCCTTGTAGCAATGATGTTATGATTGCGTGGCAATCACTCTAAACAGACAAGGAGTCTTTTTTTAATCTCTAGAGGCGCTAGCGATTGTCTACATGTGCATTCTAGGGTCTTGGAAAGACTTTAAAATTCGGATGAACGTCACATGGACTACAATGTAGGCATTTCGAAGCCGGCTGAAAGTCAATGGCTTTCCTAATTTCACCAGCATTGGGTTTAATAAAAAACTTTTTTTATTGAATGTTGAGTTTTTTTCCATGGTGTAGGCATGGTGGATACAGACTGGAATAAATTACACTGTTCTGTGTTCGCACATTCTGCAGTGACACATTCAAATGCTTCTGAAATAGGTCAAGTGATGTGAAAACTTAACCTTAAAGACATTAAGGCGAAAACACACTTTTTTTCTCATAACACTTGAAACTTTGTGGTTTTAAGAAGCGTGGGGGCTGTTCTGTTTCTACCCCGGCCAAAGAATATGCGACTTTTGATTCGCTCATTGTGAACGTAGCTGTGTGGGTTCAAGAAAGCGAAAAGCCCAGCTTGTTTGCTGTATGCATAATCGAAACACCCTCTAGATCGAGCGAAACGCACATCTTTCACAATTTATTTTAATTTTGGAAGGTGAAATACGATAAAAAAGGAAGGGATTGATTAGCGTTATTCTGTTGCATCAGTTGTGAGCAAAAACGGTTTCCTTCATCAATAAGCAAATGGAGTGCCTTGATTTTACCATCGCCAGCGTATTGTAGTGTCGGCAAAGTGATCGTTTCAGTTTGCGTCTTCCTGGTTAGCTTTCGTGGGTGGAAATGCTATTTGACCGCTTACTTCAAGATGTGATTTGCGTCCGGCATAACTGCCTTGAATGCCATTCCTGAAACAACTTTCTGCACTGTGATCTGGTGGCGATTAGGTTTGGGTATTTGTGTCCAAATGGCGAACCATCGATCTGTCTTCGTGTGCGCTGCAAAAGATTTTGCTGGCTTACGGTCATTATTGCCAATTGGTAGTAATTCTTACGCGATTCACTAATAAGTTTTTGTATGAATTTATCAGATTCAATATTAACCCATATTTTGAGGCTAAACTTGAAGATGGCAAATGAATTTTCATCAAAAAATCCATTCAAGCAAATTTTTGGTATTTAGTGAATCCCGATCTCTATTCTAAAGTAAGTTACTGAACAGCACAGCTAACTTACTAAGGACTTAAGCAGTCGCTTTGTTACTTGTAAATCAGGCCCTTTGACATGCCAGTCAACTATGAACATTCGATTATGACGACCATAAAGCTGCCTTTCTGCAATCTGTTGAATACTTTTGTTATATAACGTCTGTATTTGTTGATCAGCCATTCGCGAAATATGTCGGCTGGTACTTTAGCCATTCCGTTTCCTAATCAATGCCTTTCACGCTGTTTCCTTTGGGTGAACATTGATTCGTGCTGTGTCAACATTAAGAAGTCATATTACTCTGGCTACTATTGTAAGCAACGCATTGTCCTCTACTTCAAACTGAGCCCGACACTAGCGTAAGGAAAATTTTAGACTAATCTCGCTTTCAAAAAATGATGTGTTCGCATGACTCACAAATTTTTTCCAAAGTAATTTTATTATGCACTTGCATATACTGTAGCACATTTCAAGATCTATATTTTAAAGCCCTCTCAGTCAGTTGCTCTCCTACTGAACAAACTTAAGGAATTATTAAATGCATCCAAAAACACCATAACAACATAATGCGTAAAACTACGACGAGAAGACGTGTACTTAAGAAAATTGTGTATGGATTCGAGTGTATGTCTGATCGGTACTTGAATCCAGTAGTGCAATGCAGTACCTGCACGTTTACTGTCAAGCTATGTTAACCGAAACCTTAGAATCATTCGGCCATGATTACAGGTCACTGCCAGTCACCTGGTTCAAGATAACTATTTTTTCTCATAAATATTAGTTTCTAATGGTCGCCATAAAAAACAACCATTCGCCGAATGTGCATTAACAAGAGGGGTGATGCGGCCAAGGTATGTAGCTGCGAACAATTAAAGCACCGCTGTAAAATGTCAGGGTTGGCTGCTACGCGCTGCAGTGTCTTCGACCAATCGGCAGTCATCGCAGGGGAGCACGAGAGCGACGCACATTCAGCACACGTGTTTTGTGGTTTGTGTTCACCAGTTGGAAATAAGGCGGTACTGTGTCCCTGCCAATTATTTACTCCGCTGAACACAAACTTGAAACCTTCACGAGTGGAAAAGATGGGTCAGCTTCGATGTCCTATGTAAACACGCATGACCAATTTTTTTTGCTGCTGAGCCGGAAAAAATTCACACGATCGGGCATGGTGTTATTCAACATCTGAACATGCCACTATTCCTGCGGGTTTTTCCGCCTAATTGCTAATTATTTTAACGTTCCCTTCGTGTCATCGTTAAGTGTCTTCGTCTCTGGAGCATCGTGTCATAGATGTTAATGTACGTGTGAAGGTAGTGTGCGTTTGGGGCGCTTAAATATTCTGTGGGAATTCGGATGTTTTCGACAGTGTTGAGTTTTCACGCTGACTTGGCTGCTTTAGTAGTTCGTCTAGTTCGAGAGCTTTCATTGTCATCATTTATTTGTTACTACTTTACGTTTCCACACGTCTAACGCCCACTCATTGGAACATCTTTGGAAGATGAGATTTTGACTTGACATTCCACTACTAGTGGAGAAGATCGCTTATTATAAAGGCGTCCATTTCCTTTGCCGACTAAAATCGGTCTTTGTAGGAATATGATCTTGTCGTGATTATTTCATCCACAGAAGATTAATCCTATGTAAAAACAAGTCATCTGCATTCGATAGATTGTTTATCTTATGTCGGCCAATGCTGAGCAGAATCGGTAGGCAAAGCTGTTACCTTTAACTTGCAACTTTTGCCTACCTCGTCGCTCCACACTTATGCGACAGCCATGTTTAATCTGATATTCACAGGGTTGAACGTCATTTTTACCTGTCTGTGGCGTTTTCCGTCTTGTGTTTGAGCTTCCGCTGATTTTTCGCGCAGCAAAGGCGACTTTTTCCTGTTTGGTTCGGCAACAATGGTGGTTTAGTTTTTTTGGACAAGAGGGTAGGGAAGCTAAGGAGGTCGGTAGGTTGCATTATCATGCAATGAGTAATTTTCAACTCCATTTCCCCGTGTTCAACTTGATTCTGCTTCCTCGTAGCAACGGGACTTGAAGCAGTATCTTCATGAGTGCCACAACCTAATGCATCCGGAGAATGTGCGCCTCTTCCTCTACCAACTCCTGCGTGGTCTGGCTTTCTGTCATGCTCGGCGAATCCTGCATCGCGACCTGAAACCACAAAACCTCCTCATCAATGACAGGGGCGACCTCAAGTTGGCCGACTTCGGACTTGCTCGGGCCAAATCCATCCCCATCAAAACCTACTCAAACGAGGTTGTCACACTTTGGTAGGTTTAGGCCTTATTGCTGAAGATGCAGTTAAAGATCGGTCTCTTTCCTACGCACCCCAGTCAAGTTCTCCATGAGCCCGAGACTGTTGCGTTGGTGCGTTGTTTCAAGGTTTACCTTGCAGAGGTTGCCACTTTGAAATCGGCCGCCGTGTGTAGGGGTGAAGCTGTGCGGTGTGTGTGGCCCTGAAGTCAATCGTCAGCTAACGGGCGGCCCTGTTGGATTGGAGTTTAGGGTCGCGATCACTTACACGTTGCGTCCGCGGGCACTTCAGCGCACAGACGCATCGATTTGGTGCGCGCGCAAACCGTCGCTCTGCTGCGGACGCCCGCCGATACGCTCGGTGCGCCTCCCCTAAACGCCCGCACTCACGTAAACGCCTCCCGTCAACACTTTGTGTGCGTGTGTGTGTGTACAAGCTTTTGCCCGTTTTGGGGAAATCGCTGACTTACGATTGCAAGTGCACAAATATATTTGGGTTCCATCGGTCTTCTTGGAGGTACTAAGCGATAGTGTTTAGGAAAGTATTAAACTGCTTTAATTCCCCATTGTTTGTGTCTTCATCAACACAAAGCCCTTAGCATTATTGCGGAGTGTGCTTAACAGTTAAATGAATTTTAACCAACACCAAAACTGCGTAGTGACCATTCACATTCACCAAGCCGGTTTGTTTTTTCTCGTACAACTGGAATCCAACTATTTTAAATTTCCAGTTTGAATTTTATTGGTTTATGTTTAATAGTGTTTAAGCCAATTTATGCTCGATTCCTCGACTGTCACGCCACCAAAATTATTGCCACATTGCTTTGTTTTGAGTGGGATTTGTGCTTTAACATGTTAAATTTCGGCACTCCAATAGCTCAACATGTTTTCATGTCGGTCTAACACTTCCATCATTAATAAGAATGTTGAAGTTCACTGGGGATCAAGATCACGCTCCCAGTATCGTCCCGAGTACATAGAGTGCTTTTTTGGCCCGTTTCCGATGCGTGTGCTATGACCCCTTTGCTGTGTTGATGCAGGTATCGGCCGCCGGATGTGTTGCTTGGCTCTACGGAGTACTCGACTCACATCGACATGTGGGGCGTGGGGTGCATTTTCTTCGAAATGGCCACTGGCTGGCCGCTTTTCCCTGGATCTACTGTCGAGGAGGAGCTCACCCTTATCTTCAAGCGTCTCGGTGAGTGGACAGAGCTGCTTGTTTTGCAGCACCTCATTTTTGTCCGCGCTCAAGCCGCATCAGTTGCCCTCTCTCTCCAGCAAGTAAATCTGTCTGCCCAGTGGTATCCGCCTTAGGGGTAGATTATCCTGACCTGCGGTCCAACGACTTTCGATCGACTCCACAATCGTTCATTTGGCGTTACTTGCCTTCTTAAGCTTACTACTCACATGAAATCTCACCATCGCAGCGACGGTCCCTTACTCGTGGTCATTCGTCACTTTTAGCAAGATATTTCGTGAAGTTTTATTTGTATTTTCTAGTGTTCTTTGTCTACCAAAATGGAAATTAGTGTATAGTTGTAATCAGTTCAAGTCCTCACATTGATTTGAGGGCATTTTGTTTTATTCAGGGATGTGGTGCCGGCAAACGTGGGAAACCGCTTAGAGCTTCTCTGGGTCGTCTCAATGGTTGCATGTCTGCTAGCCCTCGACAGGCCGCTTGTTTCAGTGGTAAACTAATTCCATGCTCACGTGTTTTTTGACCAGCTTCTCTAAATGATGTGTTCTGTTTGGCTCTTTTGACGCGTGGATATCACACCAAGCACCTTTAGCTTGGGTTTCCTTTTGGTCTGGTAAAAAAATGATGACTAGTTGTTCTCCAGTGATATCTAGGGAGTGTTAGAGCTTAATTTGTGCAAAACAGGAAGGTGTAAACATCGTTACGCATTCGTGTTGAAATAACCTGAAATTCTCTAACTTAATTGTCATATTGTTGATCACGTGTTTTTGGTTAGTTAGCTATGCAGTGAAGTGATGTTTTACGATCGTTCGTTGTGGTAGACGTAAACACCGCGTCTAGTGAAAACATAATCTCTAACTATCTGGAAATATTCTTGCTTGTTTGAATGACTGGTGTTGCTACAAGCGAGATTCTGCTCTTGAGGGGATGGTCGAAGGAGTGATAATAACTTTTAAGTATTCTGTGGGCAACTCGATACCCGGACCAATTGTTCGTGGTTAGTTCATTTTCTAATCTACTGTCTCTTCTCTGCATAGGCACTCCCACTGAATCCTCTTGGCCTGGCGTCACCACTCACCCTCATTTTAGCAAAGCGCTTAGTTATGGACCCTATCCTGCGGTAGGTCGCTTCCCTCTCTCCCCCCAGTTCTCTCAGTCTGGCCAGGCCCTCCTCACCAGCCTCCTCGTGTACCCCGGTCCTCGGCGCATCTCCTCACAGGAGGCACTCAAACATGCCTATTTCGCGAGACCGATTTCCTCGTCTTCTAGTTCTGCTGCTGGCTTGCCCTTGGAGGCACTTGCCAAGTTGCCCGACTCTGCCAGCGTCTTCGATGTGCCCGGTGTGCGACTGCACAGGGACCCGGGCATTACACCGCAGACCTCGCTGTCGAATCACCACCCCCATCGCAGCAATGGATCCACAAGCTACCGCAATTCCATGCCAGTCGTATACAATGATTTCAATGTACGCCGAATTCACGCACAAGGCAACCAAATTGTATATGTTTAATTTGGACGGTGTCTAAAGCAGTCCGTTTTAGGTCCCAGACCACACACACACACACAGAGATCACACACATGTTTTTACTATGCCACTTATGGATTCGTCAGGAAAATTCACAGCCTCCTTTTAGTATCGCCGTGAACCAATTTAAGAAGATTCTGTTGTAACAGCAATAGATTGCAAATTTGTTTCCTTTTTAAATGGTAGGTCAGTCATTCTGAACGCAATTTCTTCATTGTGGAATTCGAAGCCGCTTACAAATAATGCTCTGTAATTTGCTGTCAAAGGATTCAGAAATGTTTGTGCGTGTCGCTGACGATTGTGGTCATTATTTGCCTGGGTCATCGTTTGCTTTTCAGATACCAACAAACACTAAACTCTTGGACTACTTAAATTTGCGTGTCTTTATGAATTTATTCAAGCAAATAGTTTAAGAAACCATTTACCGGGTGTTATCTTTGATGGCTCTGAACACTGTTTTAGGATCAATTATTAACCTTAAAATCACTACCAAAGAATAGGAGAAATGGCTTTCTGTGTAAAATTTCTGGAATGCACAATTGAGGTCATTTGAAGTTTGGGTTGACTTCGCGGGTGGTTATTGGTTTTACTGAATACCCGTCTTTATTCCGGTTTTATTTATCATTGACGCTTAACGCATGCAGTTTTTCTCCATTCACGTGTTTAAGCCCGCAGTGCAAATCCGTTCACTTTTTGGTTCTAGCTCAGTTCTAATCAGAACCACATGAAGCAGACTCAAGCACATCGGCACAGTCAGCTGCAGCAGCACCAACAGCCCCACGCCCACCACCAGCCTGCGCCTCCTCCTCCCCCTCCTCTCCCCCCACATCAGTCGACGTCTGCTTTAGTCGCTGGCGCGGCGACGGTCTATCAGCGTCCTGTCTCCATGGTACCGTCAAACGGAATACGGCCACCTGCTATTGCACCACGCTGTTACCTGCCCAGTCAGAATGGAACTGGAGGTGGCACTATTACGGGCTACCCTCCGAGTGTTTTTGTCAACTGTGATGCCAAGCAGTCTTCCTCAACGACCTCAAGCCAGCATCCAGTTAACCCTTTTGGTCAGTACCCAGGACATCAACGCTTCCACGATGGCGGCAGCGGCATTGCCGGGCCAGCCTCTCTTGCCTCTAACGCACGCGTCGTTGGTAGGTTGAGTGATGTATTAATCGTTGATCGATGACACCATCTTTGTCTGCGTGTTATCGAGAAATGCGGGATTCTAGGCCATCATTCTTCTTTTCTATTTGAGGCGATTTCCACGAAGGTCGACACAAGAACACGCTCTCTTAGTGAGTACGATGACGATCGACTTGCGCATAATCTTCACCCTCGTCTACCAAAAAGAAAATAGAAATTTCTAATTAATTGCCGCTGCCACTGCATTTCTCCCTCCTCTTTACGCCCATTGCCTTTTCATTGCCTAACTTGGTCTTATTTGACTGACTCGCCATTTTAATTGACCTGCTGCTATCTTTCTTCTCAAAATACAAACGTGCACTCACCAAATTGCAGCCATCTTACCGAGTTTATTTAAGACTTTAATTTCTTTTCCTTGACCCTGTACATTGTAACTTATATAAACATGCATATACTATAATTACTAATCATCATGAATCACACTTGATCACAAAATAATCTATTCTCACTCCCGTTGGTATTTTTTGTTTTAATGTTGTGTCACTGTCACCCTCGTGTAATCTCCAAGAGGTGGCCTCCACCCTACCCAATGACACTGGACCTACCATGCGAACAGCAAGGGCAATCAATTGTTTTTAATGATTAAATCTTTTCTTCTTCTCTTTTGCTTACTTTCACTCGGACATTACCCGGTTCCAGTGCGAATCAAATGTGAAAAAACAGTCACTTCGATTAAACAAAGCATGCTATATAAGTAGAAATATTTTAAAGGGCATTAGAAGTAGATGGTAAATTCAGTTATGAGAAGAGAAATTCGAGTCGATGGCACTGACGAACCATGGTGGCCTACGTATTTGTAATTTTATGGCTTTGGTGTGGAAGTCGAAGCCCCTTCTGGTTATAACCAAATGTTAACAACGAAGGATCACAAAGTTAGCCGATCACACATTTTCTCTAGCCTACAATCTGGTGACTTTTCACCGTTTATTTGTTTTACATCAAAGGGCCTAATCCAAGTCAATTTTGCTCTAGTATCCACAAAGAAACGCCCCCTCAATCTACCCTAATGTACCTTCTGATTTAGCAGATTAAGAGTAAATACTTAATATTAGATAATGCGGCGTGAAAAG